TATTTTTTGCAGAGACGTAGCAAAACAAGTAATGAAAGAGCGTGGATTAAAGAAGATACGCCTGGGAGTAGAGGGTTACCCAACCTACAAGGAGAAGGTCCGCAAACGACCTGGGGGTCGGGCTGAGGTCATCTACAATTATGTGCAGCGACCCTTCATCCACATGTCCTGGGAGAAGGAGGAAGCAAAGTCCCGTCACGTCGATTTCCAATGCTTCAAGTCCAAATCGGTCACCAATTTGGCTGAAGCCACCGCCGACCCTGTTATTGAGTTGGAACCGAACAGAGTGAGAGATGAGGAAGTGCCCGAACCTTCCCCCGAAGTGGGGGGCGAGGAAGAAGGTCAGTGATTGTTGATCCGCTCTTCTAGAGCGGCGGTGAGGGTATTAATGGCGATGTTCTGCTGGTACGGAGTGTAGTGCGGAGAATCCCAAATCATACACATTGTGAGGTGTCATTGCACCCATGAAAAGAACTTTATGATTTGGTTTATGGAGCGGATTATGATAAGTTATTTTAACGTTTTTAGCAACATTGATTATGAAACTTACATTCATATGTGGTAGTTTTGATTATTGTTAAATTACCTTGATAACTTTAAAAGTAACACCGAATGTACTCTGTGGAAGATTTCAGTATGCACTACGCTTTTCTGTGTGTGGGGTTGAGAATCTAGAATTTTCTAGTATTCCAGATGTTTTAACACCACAAACGGACTATCAGTACTTAGTTAAACACACACTTATGCCAATGTTTAATGTGCTTTTAAAAATATAAACAATTATAAAGAATAATTGTAAGCAACATAAGTATGACTACATAAATTTCATTATTTTCCTGTATACCTAATACTCTGAGTGATTCTTCTAATAGCAGAAAGCATCATCATCATTACAGCCACAAGTCCACTGCTAAACATAGGCCTCCTGCTAATCATACCATATAGCAGACTATTTTTATAATTCGATTTTTCCTCTATCAGCCTGTCCAAGCCTAGTGCTGGATGTTGACCTTCCCCTACGTAGGAGGGTCTTATTGTAATCACCAAGCTTGGGAAACGGATTTGCGACGGCGTGGCAATGTTAAACTGCTTGTGTCAGTGTGTTAATGAATAAATAACCGTCGTGTCGCCATTCTTCGTAGGCCATGAATTCTTTCGTGTGTTTCCTATATTTGCCTCTTACGTCACAAACGAGACAGGGATCATAAGTGGTAATCACCCTAAGTCATTTGATATCTATATAATACTTTAACTTCGTAAATAATTGATTACATAATTCATAAATCAATATTTGGTAAATGAATGGCTTTAGTTCTATCTCATTGCTAAATCAACACAACTTCATTGAGAATTCTGTAAACCTGGCCTAAAGTAGGTGTCGCTGGTTCTTTTTTTAACTTACATCTATTAAAACTTGTGTAAGAATTATTATTAATGATAAAACCAGAAAACATAAGTACCTAAATGCATTTTAATAAAAGTAAAGGTGACAAACGTGTGTCAATAGTCCACCTGATGATAAGTGGATTACTGTGGCCTCGTAGACACCTATATCTTGATTGAGATTCAAAGTGCAGATGCGTTGTCACCCCTGAGGACTAAGGAATGCCTCAGAGCCTATAGTTATGCTGGCTCTCTATACCTATTACATTATATACTATTTGTACATATTTATAAAGGATTCCATCATATCGAAACAATAAAAATAAAAAAAAATAATATACAATTTGTGTAGTCGTTACTTCAAAATTGTTAATCATATCATATGTTGTATAATTATTTGGTAATGTAAATTTTTTAAGCTGTAAAGTCAACATCGCTTGTACGCGGCCATTTTGTTGAACGCATTTCAAAATGGCGGTTGTGGTAAAAGCGACGGTTGTGCTAAAAAGTCGATTTTTGTACGCATCAAAATTGTTACGTAGAGCATAGGTCATACCAAATGTATTCCAATGGTGTTTTTTATAATAAAACTGTGACCATCTTTATTTGTCTTTTATTGATCCCATTTTCGCATTGGCATTGGCATAGTACATATTATTTTGGAACATTTTTAGATGGCCTCGATGGTTTGGTGGTCATAAACGTGGTAGCTAATTATGAAGTTCGTGAGTTCGAATCCCGGGTCTAACCTGTGTTGTAGGTACATATATTTGTGTAGTGAGCAGCGATCTAGTCCGAGCCGCGGTCCGTTACACCTATTAAAGTCCACTGCTGAATATAGGCAACCCATAGATTGCCTCATAGGTGGGATATTAGCCATAGTTGCCATGCTTGGCAAGCGTGTTGGCAACCGTAGTTTTTTTGTCGTTATTAGGAGACACTGCTGCCCATCCGATTTGTTTACTTCTGCCGCCTCTTAATACAACCACTGGATGATATGGGGTAATGCATATTCTTACACCGCCACTACACTGGCGACGCGACGGTCAGTTGTGAAATAAACGTCTAAAGCCAGCTATTCACTATGGGATATAATGTAATATATTATATTTCGAGATATAAATTAATATCGCTCACCGTCCTTTTTAATGGAACCGTTTACACTGATATGTAATATACATCTCATACTATAAATATTTTTTCGATCGGTGATCGTCAGTAGCCTAATGGCAGTGCGCGGACCGCGAACTCGAAAGGTCGTGGGTTCGAATCCGCCATTCTACTACTGTCGTGAACCACTTCTAACACAAGCATTTTAAGCTGACCAGAAGTGGTTAAAGGGAATATTAGTAATGTTTAATAACATTACTAGTATTTGTTTTATTTAAAAAAAATATATAAAATGGAGATATCGACGAGCGATATCTTCATTTTATATTTCACCCTCTGTACCCCGCACACCTTTCCGCGCTGCCACTACATCCTCAAGTTCGTGTCTGTCGTTACCAGAATAAACTTTTGTGTAGTGCGTATACTCACTTGTATTCGTAACTTTAGAATTTATTAAAAGGTCTAAATTCACCGTCCAGTATTGACGCTCCCTTTTTTTACTTAAAAGTAACACATATAAACCGTATTCTGCATCATCACCCTCTGATGAACTGTCGAGGCTATCAAGCAAAACAATATCCATTTTGTTTGAAAGACAATTTTGTTTGTTTACGACGAGTGCGGTGTAAATGTAATCCAATGACGAACGCACATTGGTTAAAGATATATCTCACAGTGTGAAAGCCAATCCCTGGATACAATTTATATTATATCCCATAGTGAAAAGCGAGCTTAAGCTAATGAACGGTGTCTCATTTAAATAATACATCGCCAAAATCAGTCGTTGGGGTTCTCAGAAGTTGAGGTGTTTCAAACCCGATCCTAGGAAATCACAAAGCCGTAGGTCGTGCGTCTGATCTCTTCGGTCGTTTCGGTTTACTGTCTCATCAGACTATGAGAATGAGGAAATAGTGAGTGTGCAGCTGTGCTTGCGCATATACACGGGCTGGCCGCCATGACCGAAATTCGGTCTGGAGGACATTATTATTACCTATTACTTAGTGTTCTGCCTACTACACTTCATATTGCCAAACATCAGCAACCGCTTATGAAATCGTTGATGTTTGTTTTATGTTGACAAACATAAAACTCTTAATCTTGATTCTTCTCCTTCAAAAACATTAGGTTTATTCTGGGACACCTCTCATGACACTTTTTGTTTTTCATTTAACCACACCTTTACACATAAATAATCAAAAAGTTTTCGATCCCTTAGGTCTCGTTGGACCGTGCATTTTACAGGCAAAAAACATATTACAACAGCTGTGGGTGTATAAATGTGGCTGGGATGATAGTTCCATCGCAAATTATATTGGAATTTGATAATTTTATTAACTCTCTTTCTCAGATAAATACCATACATATACCACGCTGGATAGCGTAAGTCTTCTGGAGATATAGTTACACGTATTTACCGACGTTTCAGAACGTGAATATGGCGCATGCGTTTATGTAAGAACAATCTCAATAATTTTTTATCTAAATGGATAGTCAATAATTGAACGCTTATAAATAAGACTTAAATAGTCGTCACAGGGCAATACTTTGGCATTATAATTTTTGTTTCAGCATTATAGCGCGATCACTACAATATCCCATTTTGATATCCATTAATAATAATGTGCAAAAAAGATTTTATACGTGGTAGAGCCATGCTGCAGCTATATTATGGTTGTAGCACGAATGGGTCGGCTCGACCGGGGAAGGACCACGCTCTGACAGAATACCAGCGTAAAATAGCAGCTTAACGCTGCTGTGTTTCGTATCGTGAGTGTAGAGAACCGGAGACCCTTTTTACTGGAAATGAGGCATTCCATCTTAGTCCTCACGGGTGACAACGCATCTGCATTTTGATTCGCAAACGAGGATAGATGTAGATGTCTATGGGTCACAGCAACCACTTACCATCAGGTGGACTGTGTGCTCGTTTGTCACACTATCCTATAAACAGATATCGAGCAATGCCAGATGCCTAGGCTATATAAATTTATGCACAAAACGTGTTTATTTTTGTTTTGTAATCATAATATTGATAAAATGGTCCTTGATGATTAAGGTAGCTAGCTAGTTGGTAAATAGAAACCACTAAAGCCACATAAGTGTACTTTATTTAAAACTTAAGCCAAACAAAGTAGCAGTGTTACTAAATACAAATAATAACTCTTAGCAAATAAGTACATATCTAAACGCCCTCTTACAAACACGATACCTATCTAAAAGTAACGACAAAATACGCTTAGAATCACATTACTAGAACTAAGCCACCGACGCTGACGCCGAACGAATATGTTTAGAATAGGTGTAGATATTTAAGAAAAAAATACCCCCACAATCTTGTTTCTATTCAACGGTATACATACATACATATTTAAGTTGGATGTATAATATTTTTTTAGATATTCGATGAATACTAAATGAGATCACGCCTACAATATTTTAGATATCGACAAGGAAAGCCTACTTTTCTGGCCTAAAAATTCGACTATACTTTGAAATCTATAAAGTTATCATAAATCAAAATCAATGGGCGGCAACGGAGGAGGTCCATTCCTCTCTTTCCACATTCCGAATCTTGTCTCTTGAGAATCTAAAAGAAAATTGTAAACATGAGTAATTTTGTGCAGAATTCAAAATAAATCTTTAGATATTATAATTCTTCTCTACGTCTATTAATGAAATATTTTGTATGCGCTTGAGTGGGATAGATGGTTTAAATTCACAATTAGACCCGACAGGTGGCGCTGTTGACGTGATCCAGAAATCAACCGTGCGAAGCTGGAGCGCATCGCTAGTGTATTACAATAATATTTACGACAAGGATTATACATAGAGGCCGTGTAAAATAATCTATTGTCCTATATCATTCCGTGTTTATGGTAAGAGCGAGAAAGATAAACTGAAACACGGCAGATGGGCAGCAGCATAACATTCCTGTTAGAGTTCAAAATAATAAGATGCTGCGGTTGTCAACGCACCTGCCGCGCGTGGCAACTATGTTAATTATTACATTGCAATTTATGGGGTAATCTAAGTAAATAACGCGTGTGCATGCGTGCGTGTGTGCGTGCGCGCTAATGCGTGTTTTCTTTTTGTCCGGTGGAAGGTTTCTTTCTTTATTTATTTATTCTTTATTGTGAACCAAAATACAGAATACGAGAAGAGTACAATTTAATGTATATGTACAACAGGCGGTGTTAACATTCTGGAAGTGAGCTCTTCTAGACAACCTTTGCGTAGAGGACTTATGTAAACAATGTTTAACGTAATCCATAGAGGTTCCTGCGCATGCACCATAGATCTAGGTGCGTGAGTCACTCACCAGTAGCCCGAGATGATGAGGGAGAGCGTTTGAAAATTCGTTCGAGGAGCACCCGCGACGGCGACAATGGGCGTCGCACGCGCCCTTGCGTCTGCGCTGCGCTCAGGCACCCCGGCACGCCTGCAGACACACAGCTAAAGTAATGCGCGATTGAACAAACAAAGATTTTAAATACACGTAAACCAGTAAGGCCCATATCTATACATTATACGTGGTAGAGCCACACTGCAGCTACATTATGGTTGTAGTACAAATAGGTCGACTCGACCGGGATCGGTTCACGCTCTCACAGAATACCAGCGTGATATAGCAGCTCAATGCAGTTGTGTATTTATGGTGAGTGTAGAGGACCGCAGATCCTTTTTAGAAATTTCATATTAGTCCTCAGGCATCGCAATGCATCTGCATTTTGATTCTTAATCGAGGATAGATTATCCATAGGCCAAAGCATTCACTTACCATCAGGTGGACTGTGTGCTCGTTTATAACCTTTATTCTAGAAGAAAAACACAAATAAAATTGAAGTGTCTGTCTATAATATTATAACTGGCTTCTATTAAGACATAAATAATCATTTTAATAATTTTGTCTGTCTGATAGATCCTATATCCATCGCCTAGATGTATGAAATGCATCATCATCATCATCATTACAGCCCTTCACAAATCCACTGCTGAACATAGGCCTCCCCCAAGGAATGCCACAAAGCACGGTCCTGAGCCACCTGCATCCATCGACTTCCTGCACATCTCACCAGGTCGTCACTCCATCTAGTGGGGGGACGCCCAACACTTCGCCCGCCGGTACGAAGCTGCCACTCGAGAACCTTTTTTCCCCATCGGTTGTCGGTTCTTCGAGCTATATGGCCGGCCCATTGCCACTTCAGCTTACTAATCCGTTGGGCTATGTCGGTCACTCTGGTTCTACTGCGGATATCCTCATTTCTGAGTTTATCACGCAGAGAAACTCCGAGCATAGCCCTCTCCATAGCTCGCTGAGCGACCTTGAGCTTCCTCATCTCATCACGTCTCAGTTCCGTATGTCATCACTGGCAACACGCACTGGTTGTACAGTCTCGTTTTCAAGTTTTGAGGTATACCTGACGAGCAGATGTGGCGTAATTTCCTGAACACTGCCCAACCGAGTTGAATCCGTCGATTGACCTCTCGGTCGAAGTTGGACTTACCTAGTCGGACTATTTGTCCCAGGTAAACATACTCGTCAACAACTTCGAGCTTAGTGCTCCCAACAACTACCGGCATAGGTGTGACATAGACATTAAACATGATCTTTGTTTTGTCCATGTTCATCTTAAGACCTATCCGTTGGGAAGCACTATTGAGGTCATTGAGCATAGTGCTTAGGTCCTCCAGCGATTCTGCCATAAGGACTATATCGTCGGCAAATCGAAGGTGAGTGATGTACTCGCCATTGATGTTGATACCGTATCCTTTCCAGTCCAGAAGCTTGAAAACGTCTTCCAATGCAGCGGTGAAGAGTTTCGGGGATATGACGTCACCCTAACACCTCTCTGCAATTGGATAGGTTTCGTACTCTGGTTCTGTACTCGGATAGCCCTCATAGCCCTACTGTACAAGCACTTCAGCACTTCGATATACCGACAGTCAACTTGGCACCGCTGAAGGGACTGCAGCACCGCCCAAATTTCGACGGAATCAAAGGCTTTCTCATAGTCCACATACGCCAGACATAGTGGCAAATTGTAATGCTGCTGCCCATCTCCTGCCTGTTTCCCTTTGTCGCCTTTTACGACACCCACGGGAAGATATGGGGTAGTGGATATTCTTAACCGCCACTACACGGCAAATGAAATGTAATGCAATGCATAATGAAATGCATAATTTTTTTTTATTTCCATATGAAATAAAATTTTTTGTGCATTTCATACATCGGTTGGCACAATAAAATGCGATAGTACTAACATGATACCAACCAATAATTATTATATAAAATAGAAATGGTATCCCTTTTGATTTGAAAAAATATATGACCTAAAGTCAGATTTCTACAGGTTCTTTTATGTAGAGGTTTCACATTCCGAACCGATGGTAGATCCAGTGGGATAAGAGTTTAACATTCATAAGAGATTATAATGTAGTGTCACGTCTGTAATCCCCGAGGGGAAAAGGACTTAGTCATCCTTTAAACCTGAACACCATAATGGATGAACTATTCATGTTGCTTGGCGGCGGAAGAAGGAGAGAACGCGTTCTGTCCTTCTTCCGCCGCCAAGCAACTATTAACTCGATTAGCTTGTAACTATCTTAGGTCCTATGATCCTTGGAGGTTGCAGTTTCTTCCTCGTCAACTCGTAAAAATCCTTAGCTGGACATAGGATCTCTCCAGTAAGTGAGGACTTGCTATAATCGCCACGCGTGGCAGATGGATTGGATGGATTAGACTTAATAATCTATTCCAACAATTTAACCCAGTTAATAACAGTACGTTATGGTCCGATGCTGGGTAAGGAGCCGTGCGTGTTGTCCGTCGCCTTTTACGTAAGGCCTCGAGGTGGCGCTTACGCTGTGTTTCCGTGTGCCCCTACATGAAGAAGAAGGGGATAACTCCTGCTCCACTGCGTGATCGAGACGAACCCTGTAAGGGCTACGCCGTCGGGGCTGCGGTAGTGTACGAATGCGTTCCCGTAGCCCCGACAACGGGTGAAGTAATGACCGTAGGGTTTTACCCGGTAGGAGTCTGGTATAACCTGTCTGTTCTCTTCGCGACAAACAGGTGTCCATTAGGATTTCCTCAAGTATAAAAAAAGGAGCCAAGTTTGTCGCACCTCCCTTACCTGGGCGAAAACGCGAGTGAATCAGCGGGCATAAGCTAGTAGAATCTAAAGGCAATACTTAGTGTCGCTGGAGGCTCGCACTGGCCCCGAAGGCGGCGGGTGCTCAGTGCAAGCGCAACGCAGCCACCGCACACCACGCCACAGACCACCACGCACCACTGCCACGCGCACACCTGCCACTGCCACTGCCACTGCTGAACGTCACCGCGCAATGTAGCCTCTACACGATCGACGCATTTCGCATGAGGTGGCAACAGTAAAACATTTGGTCTATCTATGCATATAAATAAAATTGAAGTGACTGTCTGTAATATTAAAATAATTAGTTTTTTTAATTACCTAATTTAAACTTTTTTTATCTGTCTGTCTGTCCGATTAAATTTTTCGAACCGATAGAATGCAATGCCAGCAGGCTATGTATTTCAGCCAAACATCAAGATGTTTTTTTTAATTAAAAAATTTATAAAAAAATGGTCTTTGACTATATTCAATTGCCATCCAGCCATTTTGACTGCTTCATTGATCTAGTGGTCATAAGCGCAACTGCTTCTCATGTGGTCCCGGGTTCGAATCCCGGGTCACACCAAAATCATCTTTTGAGTATTTTGGTCAAGAAACTCTTAATAGCAGCCTGGAGTCTGAAAGTTAGCGTCGTTTCACGCTCGAGCCTCAGAGGGCCCGTAAACAACCGTTGGTACAGCGCCTGATCTCTCTCCAGTCGGTTTATCGTACCATGTTCGATGTTACCGGTAACAACGCATTCTATTTTAGTCGTCAGAAGTGACAATACTTCAATCTGCTTTTTTTGTTTCAAATCACAACAATTCTTATGTAGTTTTCCTTCAAAAATAATTCTATAATGACCATAGAGCGTTTTTAAAACGACTCTTTCTAGACGCACCTATTCCATAATTAGATAAATTGAGATAGAATAGCAGTGAACATGTTTTGGCGGCTTTGACCGTGTGTTGACGGTGTAAGGATATCCACTATCATAATATTCACAATATAATATTCACTAATCTGGACATTGCGAAGGCCTTCGATCGGGTTTGGCACAAAACGCTTCTTTCGAAGCTCCCTTCCTATGGGCTTCCCGAGAAATTGTGCAATTGGATCACCAGCTTCCTTGCAGATCGGAGCATCAAGGTCGTTGTAGACGGTGCATGCTCTGACTACAAGCCTATTAACGCTGGTGTTCCACAAGGCTGTGTGCTATCACGAACGCTGTTTCTTCTGCATATCAATGATATGTTGCTAACTGGTAACATTCATTGCTATGCGGATGACAGCACTGGTGATGCTCTATACACCGGCCGTGCCAATATTTCTCGGGAAAACGTCGCTGACTACCGGAACAAACTTGTGTCTGAAGTCGAGTCTTTGCTGAACAAAGTCTCGGATTGGGGGCGACTAAATCTAGTCCAATTTAATCCTCAGAAGACACAAGTTTGCGCGTTTACCACTAAAAAGAACCCCTTTGTCGTATCTCCTCAGTTTCAAGGCACTCCCCTTCTTGCCTCAGCCAGTATCGGTATCCTCGGAGTCGACATATCAAGTGACGTGCAGTTTCGTGGTCACTTGGAAGGGAAGGCCAAATTGGCCTCTAAAAAGCTTGGCGTGTTCAGCAGAGCGGGACAGTATTTCATGCCGTCACACCGCCTGCTACTTTACAAGGCGCAAGTTCGGCCTCACATGGAATACTGTTCCCATCTCTGGGCAGGGGCTCCCCAGTGCCAGCTCCTTCCACTTGACCGCATCCAACGCAGAGCGGCTCGAATTGTCGACGACCGAGCCCTTTCCGATCGGCTCGATTCATTGGCACTGCGAAGAGATGTTGCATCCCTTTGCATTTTCTTTCGCATCTACCATGGGGAGTGCTCTGAGGAATTGTTCGGATTAATCCCAGCCGCCAAATTTCACGAACGCACATCGCGGCAGAACTCCCGATACCATCCACACCATCTGGATGATTGGCGGTCCACCACTGTGCGATTTAGAAGATGTTTTCTTCCTCGCACGACCTCCTTGTGGAATCGATTACCATCAGCGATTTTTCCGGACCGATACGACTTAGGGACCTTCAAGAAAAGAGCGTACTCCTTTTTAAAAGGCCGGCAACGCATCTGCGATTCCCCTGGTGTTGCAGTTGTTCATGGGCGACGGTAGTCACTTACCATCAGGTGAGCCGCATGCTCGTTTGCCCCCTCTCCTATAAAAAAAAAACTATCATGAGAGGCGACAGAGTGAAACAAACCAGGAGATGGACAGCGGCGTTTTCCAAATAAAAATTGAAAATAAAAAAAATTGCGGTTGTGCGCCTGCAAATAGTGGCAACTATATGACATATAAATGTACGTGGCAGTGCCATGTTGCAGTTATTTTAGAGTCGTAGCACGAATGGGTCGACTGGACCGGGGAATGACAACGCTCTCACATAATACCAGCGTAAAATAACAGCTTTATGCTGCTGTGTTTCGTATAGTGAGTGTAAAGAACCGGATACAATTTTTACTGGAAGCGAGGCATTCCATCTTCGTCATAAGGGGTGACAAGTTGACAACGCATTTACATTTTGATTCTAGATCGAGGATAGATGTAGATGTCTATGGATCACAGCATCCACTTACCATCAGGTGGGCTGTGTGCCCGTTTGTCATCCTTATTCTATAAAAGGAAAAAAATGAAATGAGACATTCCGTCTTAGTATCCCGGGGCGAAAACGATTGATACTTAATCGAAAATACATGTAGGTGTCTATACCGCAGCATTCCCTTAACGTAATGGATGCCATACACAATCCAGTTTACCGTCAAGTTTGCAGCGCGCTTGAAGCGGCATCAAGTTTGCAGTGCATCCATATAGGCTACACACGTTCAAGTTCGCCGTCAAGTTTGCATAATGCCGCATCAGTTGAAACCATGGCGTCTCTCGCTTATATGCTCCGACTACCGTCATGCATACTTGACCGCTGATACACACGTTCAAGTTTGCATGACGCTGCAAGCTTGAGCAAGTCGGCAAAATCGAAATTCAATTTTTGCTTCAAGTAGACTTATCATGCACAACGATACACCGTCAAGTTTACCAGACGCCGTTTCAAGCGCGCTACAAATTTGACGGTAAACTGGATCGTGTATGTGATCCATAAGGTGGACTGTGGTTCGTTTGTTACGCTTACTCCTATGAATGTAGAAGAGATGTCCTACATAAGGGTACGTACATCGTACCTGTGCGGACCGAATGCTAGACGACAGGCGCAGGAGCCGGGCGGAGCGTGCGTGCCGCGCGGGCACGCGGTGCACGTGTTCTCGCCCGCCAGCGAGCACGTGTCCGCCGGGCACACAGCTGCACCATCACATTACATACAATGAAACGAAAATTTAATTGACACACCACATTATAATATGTTTTCTGAACACAAGATTAATTTTAATGGAAACGAGGTATTCCTTCCATCTTCGTCTTCAGGAGTGACAACGCTTCTGCATTTTGATTCTTAATCTATGGGGTGGGATTTGGGAGAATCGTACACGTCAAACTAGAAAATCTTCGAAAATTTACTGACAGACTTCGCAATAATTATCATAGAAATTACGAGGAATATTTTCGGAGGACTGTTTATATTGCACTGATAGATAGCATAATGACTAGCCTACAGCACCGATTTTCTGCGAATACGATGAACCTGTTCGAATTACGGTTTTTTATGACAAAATCTGTATATACAGACGAAGATCTCCTTAATGTGAAGAAAGTATCAGAATGTTATTCCCATTTCTTGAGTGTTCCTGCTGCCACTCTCGTTACAGACTATAAGCTATGGATTTCAAAAGGGAAACGGGAGCTCAAGGAAAATACTGATACAATATTTCCTAAGTGTGTGGTTTCTACAATTGAAGATTGCGACGATGATCTGACCCCAATATAAATACTGTGCTGAAAATTCTGGCAACTCTTTCTATAAGCGGTGCGACATCAGAGAAATCATTTTCTACGCTAAGGCGTGTACAAACTTGATTGAGGGCAAACATGTTAGAAGAGAGGCTGGCAGGTTTAGCTCTTCTAAATATTCATCACAGAACCGACAACATGCATTTTGCACGCGCTCTATTAGTCGCTTTGTTTTGCTGAAAATTCTACGTCCATAAACAACATCTCATGTCATTTACCATGTCACAACGTCTAGGTTACTACAAATTTTACTTATTGTGCCCATGCACAAAGACGCAATATAATAAATAAGTAGAACTGGGCATGGGGCCATATATTTATTGACTTTGGGGTTTAAAACAAGAGCATTTCGCATTTACCAGTAAGCAATTCTGTCCAAATCCTCATTAAGCCGTGTTACAGCTTGTGGTAACTTATCTGGTGAGTCTGGCATGTATACTTGCAAATCGTAGCAGTAGTACATAGAATAGTTTATAACTTTGATAAGATCAGCACAGTAAATTATAAAAAGAAGTGGACCAAGTATTGAACCCTAAGGAACACCACGATTAATAGGCCTAGGGTGAGAACGTATATTAGAACTATCACTTTTTACCAATTTTACTACTGATACCGATTTCTCAAGTAAGTACTCAACCACTTGACTGAATTTTTTGTTTAAACCATAATATGACAGTTTAGCATGCAGTAATGAATATCTAGGCAGTCGAAAGCGCGGGAATAGTCTAACAGCGTTAGAATCGTACTGTGACCGGAATCTTGTTCAGCTAATATGTTGTCTGTGACATCGAGTAAAGCAGTCGCTGTTTCACATCCTTTGCTAAACCCAGATTGTAAATGAGGCAAGATGTCAGTCGCTTCAACAAATTTAGTCAACTGTTCGCAAATAGCTTTCTCCAGCAGTTTTGCAATGAATGGCAAAATGCTGATGGGACCAAGATCTTATAACTCGACCGGGTTTTCATTTTTGGGTATTAGGGCCACTAGTACCTCCTTACACTTATCCTTAGGAGCTATATCCGTCGTAATTGACTTATTAATTATAGCCGTGATTGCATCCAGAGTGCAAGGAAGAGAGTGTAGATCATATTGTACTCTCTCTCTTGAACTCTGGATGCAATCACGGCAATCACGGGACGTGTCCAACAGCATTCGATTTTATGGACATTATATATTTAGAAATATCTGTAGACTCTACGACAGCTAATTTAAATACCTCTGTGTAATTGAATTTATTGTGTTCAAAAAATAATTCACTTCTGTATTGGAAACTACGTTGTCTCCCGGAATATTTAAAAAGTCATCATTGTTTTTGTTTGCGTGATTGAAATTGGGAGGCAAAGGTTTGTCTTTCGAGGGGTCAACCAAAATTTTATCTATCAAATTTTTCCAATATGTTTTGATATTTTTAGCTTGAGAATTAACTAAGCTATTGAAGTACAACTTACCACAAATCTTCTGATCCGCCAGGAGGTAGAACCCAGCTGGGCAGGTAACCACTACATCTACGTTACCGGGCTCCATGTCGAGCACCAGCCGCCTGTACTCATGGTGACCGTTCGAATCTTGAATGAACATTGCTTTGATTATTTAAAAATACCATTACACAAAACATAACTGCTTAGTTTTATTTATAGTTTCATAAAAACAGCTCTGAGAATTTAATAAAACTAAATCCAAGTGCATTTAAATAATCGAATCAAGATAGAACTGTGGTAACTCAGAGGCTAAGAGCTCGCTGTAAATCACAGTACGCGATCGTACCGGGTTCGAATCCCGCTGGCATGTCAGATTTAAAATACGAAGTCAAACGCAATAAGAAGTCCGAACTAAGTAGCTCATTAAGTAAGTGCCTATTTTTGACGCCAAGCAGCTGGGTACTGGTCTCGCTGAGTTCCGATCTGAATGGTACTAGCTAGAATAAATAAAGATTATGAGGTATATATCTCATCTTGGGCCTTAGTGGTGACACCACCTCTTGTTTTTATGATTGTAGGTTGGTTGTAAGTGTCCTTAGGCTCTAAAAGCTTTCCTGAACTGATAGCTAACCATCTTTACTGGTAGGGATGGGCAAGGGAAAAATATATCGATATATATCGAATCGATATTTTTAAACAGTATCGATAAAAGCGTGAAAAAAACGACAACCAACCACACATGAATACTTTTGTGCCTCCTTTTGTTGTTACGTATTTTGTCATCACTACAACATTTTAAAATATATCGAATTTGATATGAATTCGATACTCTAAAATAAATATCGATATATCGAGAATTAAAATATCGTCGATATATATATCGATATTTCGATATATCGATATTTTTTGCCCAAGCCTATTTACTAGACTGATAGCTAGGTGGCCACTCTAATATAAGTTAGTATGATATAGGTCATTTTTGGCTGCATTACCTTTTACCGTCAGGTGGAATAGTAGTCAACCACTGACCTAAAATAGTTAAAAAAATGTACTTACCCTTTTTCTTCAATGCCATAACAGTCGTCAAGTCTGAATCACAAGTATCCAAGGGCGTTAAAGTCTTGTTAAAATCATCGTAGAAAATTACAACTGTCAACAAGAAAAAAATGTTTCGAAACAGTGTAATTTTAAATTTTTCTTTGCCAAACGTCATTTAGTCTACAGCCATTTAAAAATGGGATCGTGGATCGATGTAGGTGTCTATGGGCCACAGCATCCCCTTACCATTAGGTGGGCTGTGTGCTCGCTTGTCACCCTAACTCTATAAAAAATATCAAAGAGCATATATTTATGCGTGGTAAATCCCCGCTGCAGCGATATTATGGTTGTAGCTCAACCGAGTAAAGATATATCACAGAATATCGGCGTGAAATAGCAGCTTAATGCTGCTGTGCGTGGTATGGTGAATGTAGAGAACCAGAGACCCTCTTCACTGGAAATCAGGTATTCCATCTTAGTTCTCAGAGATAATAATAATAATTATTATTATTAATTTTGATTCTTAATCGAGAATCACTGCGTCCATTCACCATCAGGTCATTATTTTAAAAATATACCAAATGGTTTGATAACTGTTGCCACAAGTTCTAACTGTACTTTATCTATCTACTACATGTCCGTTTCACCAGTTTGTCACCTCCATCTGGTGAGGCGGGCGCCCTACCTCCACTTACTCCGAATTCTATAGTTAGCACAACAATCGTTAGTGGAACGTGAAAATTAACCGCCCAAGGTTCAATCTGAGGATTTCCATGTTTCATTTACAAAAAATATCCGACATAGTCCGCGTCAAATCTTGGATTTGTTTATTGTGTAAAGGCGTTGAGGAGAGATATAAAAAAGTTGGACGTTTACGTGAACGGGTTCATCAAAGTTCACGTTAAATCTATTTAAAACACATAAGCCAACAAATAGGCGATAAGGGAATACTTCGTGAGAGAACCTGTGGCGGCGCTGTCGTCGCGCCACAAGCGAAACACATCGAAGCGTAAATCGCGCTAACAAAGTTCCGAAGTTAAAGCAGTATATATAGAATAACTCCGAACTACCACTCGGAGCGTTGGCCGCTCCCCGGGCAGAACACAATACCCGGTGGGAGATCTAACCTTTTCCTTCCACCGGCTACAAACCTTGTGTGAGTAATAAAATTATTCGAGCACATGTGCAGACCACCAATACGCAGTGCAGCGTCACGGTGAAGCCCACCGTGACGCTGCGGCTGTCCTAAACCCTTCGAAAACGAGAGAAGTCGTGTGCCCAGTTGCGGTACGATTTTATGCTTTAACTTTTCTCTTTATATATATAAGTGTAATGAAATTAAATAAAAAATTATTCATTTATCGAAGTATAATATAAAAATTTTGTTTGTCAAATGTTTTTTGAAACTACTGCCGTTTCAAAATGAGGTTCCTCTGGCCTGAGAAGGAAATATATATAATAATTATGCGGTGATTTCTGGATCTACACAACAGCGCCACCTACCGGGTCCAATTGTGAATCTAAGCTATCTAGGGATCCACTGAAATACACACAAAAAATTTCATTAAAATTTGTCCAGTTGTTTTGAGTTTTAGCGAGACTAACGAACGGCAATTTTTTTTGCATATATTTATAGATACTCGTAGATATATTGAACATTTAAAAATTACATACCCTTAACAAATGCCAAAGATGGCGCGTTGCTAGCCCAGAGCAGAGCCAACGAGCACTTTAAATCCCTTTGACACTCCGGACTGCATTCAATCGTTGGCTGAGGACTTGACTTCATTACCACCGTGGGTTTTAGCACATTTTCATTTTCCTATAATTAGATGAACATACGCCGTGTAATGGTGGTGTAAGAATATCCACTACCCCATATTGTACCGTGGGTGTCGTAAGAGGAGACAAAGGGAAATAAACCTGGAGACGGGCTGTAGCGTCTTCGTTATAACAACAAAGAAATTAAAAACTGCGATTTCAAACCCGTGTGCCAACCTTGGCAACAATTTTATTATAAATCGAAAATTAATATTATAAATATCAAAGTTGATGGTAGCCTTCGTTAAAAATGATATCAGAACGTCAAAGTCAAACCACCTCAGTCCCTCCGTGACCATGACTACCGTAAAGTGCCCGAAAAGTCGGGAATTAAAGAAGTTAAAATTAAACGCGAAAAAAATAGTAAAAATAGTTTTATTCGATGTGCAGTATTCGCGTAAATTTAAGAAATCATTATGCATAAAGTTTTTCTTTTTGTTTATGTGCACTTCCAGGAAGACTGATAACTCTCTTGGCACTCTTCTTCTTTACCAGTTTGTTAAAGTCCACTACTAGAGGTCCGTGGCTAACAGCAGTAATATTATGAAAAATCATTTAAGAATTAGGTTCGGTAATATCTTAAAGTTATACCTTATTCGACATGCAGACCGGTTCATCGATACGTATTGAATCAGGCTCATCGTCTCCGCTGCACATTGCCTTAGACATCATTGGGCCCAACTTTTGAATGTTCATCAGGTCCTTAGGGAATAAAAACATCGCTTTACTTATTACGTAGTTGGCCGGGGTGACACCCCGTTGGTTGGGGTTTTTTAAATAGCGATTTTTTGGCTTGTTATAAAAATTTAACTAGTAAATGAAAATTCGAGATTGAATGACTTTCTCTACAGGTTCTATTGTTCCACAATAACTTGTTTAACACTGACAACATTCATATCATTATTTACATCCATCCCTAATAACGGCTTATAAAAGTCCACTGCTGAACATAGGCCTCCCCATAGATTGCTTCATTGGGAGATTTTGCCATAACTGCCACAAGTGGCAGGCGGGTTGGCAACTGCAGCGTTTGATAGGCTGAAATTAGATCTGAAGGACATTATTATTATTTGTTATAAATGAACCCAACGTCCTGTTAGTTAGTCACTCTTTATGACAAGTTAGGCATGTAACCACGTGATAGTAATAATAATAAGTAAAATATAATTATTATTTTAGTGTGGCGGCAGTCTAAAAGGGGCCATGGAAAATACCTGAAAGATCTCTTATACGCTAGTCTGTGTGTTTATGATTTTTTTACATAAAGTTGAACAAATGCAAATAACCTCAAACATAGAAAACTACAGACTAAGATGGAATGCCTCACAGCCTGCTATTTAACTGGTGCTCTATACCTTGAACGCAAGAGTGCACGCAGCACTGTTTATAAGGGTTAGTAACTTTAAATTTAGATACTATTAATTTTAAATAATTTACAAAATTCTGATGCTACTCAGAACCGTGTTTTGTCTCATTCTCTTTGTTTAGCAGTGGACTTGTGAAGGGCTGTAATGATAATGATGATGATGACGACGAAACTGAAAACTAACAACATAACTAAAAACTACTAAATAATAATTATAACTTTTAACAAAATGTAAAAACCGACTTCAAATTGCTAAATAAGAAGTTATTTATTTAATACCATTAGTGGTGAAATTTTTCCGCCATATTTATATGGGACAACCTTTGTAATATAACCTATTTAATAAAAAAAAATCATCAAAATTGGTTCTCAATCTGCGAAGATATCGCGTATCCATAATAGTAAAAAAAAAACACACTCGAATTGAGAACCTTCTCCTTTTTGAAGTCTTAAAAGTCGTGAACCTTAAAAACTAAATCTAAAAAGTAATAATCTATTGTCAATTTAGTTTATCATGTTCGGCACGGAATGTGTTAAAAATATTATGAATGAATCGTATATTTTAAATTAATGTATTGTATCTTTCAAAATATACGAGTATTATTATGTTATATAATTTATACAGTGTAAGTTTTGGACAGAAATAGATGTCAGTGTCATACCCGCTAAAACAGGCAAAGTTCCAGCACGTTCACCTTACATGTATTGTAAACGTCTCAGGATACTAAATAATTTCAAGTAAATTACCTCATAAGTACATTCGCTTTGGCACTTGTACAATGGTGTGAAGACAACATTGAAGTCGGGGATCACTATGACATTCAGCTTGACGCTTCTTATAACACTCTTATCCTGAAAAGATATCCAGTGCCTAAGTTTTAAATTCTGGAATAAAATTTCCCTATTACTATTTTCGCTAAGACTTCGTGCTATCACCTATGCCGTTTCCACTGCATATCAATGATACTCGTAGGTTCCAAACCAGTAACATTCATTGCTATGAAGGTGATAACACTGGTGACGCATCTTACACGCTTCTTACATCAACTGTGCCAATATTTCTCAGGAATACGCTATCGGGTGCCTGAACAAACTTTTGTCTGAATTCGAGACTTTGTTAAACAAAGTCTCGGATTGGGGACAACTAAATCTGGGTCAGTTTAACCTTCAGACGATTCAGCTTTACATCTTTACTACTTCAGCCAGCATCAGATTTCCCGGTGTCAAGTTCAGTCCCGCGGTCACTTGGAAGGGAAGACTTAATTAATTAGCCTCTAAAAGCTTGGCGTGCTCAATAGAACTAAAGCTGTACAGTATTTCATGCCGGGACACCGCTTGCAACTTCACAAAGCGCAAGTTCAGCATGGATTACCGTAACTCATCTCAGGACCGTGGCTCCCTATTGTCAGCTCCTAATTTAATTTGAAAAAAAGAAGTTCTGCTGGGTTCCTTCCCAGGTTAGAGATTTTCTTCCGAATCAGTGTTAAAAGTAAAAAATGGCTAAACAAGAGTTTTTAGTGATTGCAAGTATTTGTATTGAATAAAAATTAATATTCTATTTTATTCTATTCTATTCCACTTGACTAAATTCAGCGAACAGCGCTCCGAAGCGCCGACAACCGAGTTTTTTGATCGGCTCGATCGGCACTGGCGTTGCGAAGAAATGCTGCATCCCTTTATATTTTCTATCGCATCTACCACGGAGTGTGCTCAGAGGAATAGTGCGAATTAATTTCAGCCGCCAAATTCCACCATCAAACATTGACAGAATTCGCGATACCATCCATACCATCTGGATGCTTGCTGGTCCTAGCCTAGGCGTACCTAGCAAGCGGAAAACTTCTGGTAAATTGCACGTTGGTGGACCGCTAAATTTCCAGGAGGTATCGCGAATTTTGTCGCGATCAACGATGGTGAAATGTACCGTTACCGTTACAGTATATTAAAGTCCACTGCTGAACATGGGTCTGCCCCATAGATTGCCACAGATGGTCTAAAGGGTATAAAGAAGCAATAATTACAGGCTACAAGGCATTCCGTCTTAGTCCTCGGGGTGACAACGCACCTGTAGCTTCTTTGTATGAAGTTGGCTGCTCGTGACCATGGACTGCAGTAGTCACTTCAGTTTTATTACAAAACCGAATACCATTACATCTATCGGCGCCTATAAAAGTCCCCTGCTGAACATAGGCCTCCCTCATAGATTGCTTTATGGAGGGATATTTGCCATAGTTGCCACGCTTGGCAAGCGGATTGGCAACCGCAGTTTTTTTATTTCTAGTCGTTATTAGGAAGAAGCTGCTGCCCATCTCGTAATTTGTTTCCCTTTGTCGCTTCTTAAGATCACCCCGGGACGATATGGGGTAGTGGATATTCTAACACCGCCACTAATACGCGGTAATTGCGATAAGAAAAAAAATATTCTCTCATACATCTGTTTACATCACGATCGATGCTTCAACTGTGAATTTATGTATGTAATCGCAAGATAATATTCCCATAACGATTTTCGGTTCCGGAGTTCGGATTTTTTTTCTTGTGCTGTGAGACTTTGTTTCTTACCAAATTTCATGATTCTAGACCAGCGGGATGTGCCCTGTAGGTTTTGATGAGTAAATTTAAACGTATTAAAATGTGTGGCATATATGGCCGTACACTTTGATTTTGTTTATTTAGTAGCTTGAATTTTTAAAATTTTTTAAGGGACCGTAAACCAAAGTATTGCATATTAATTTCAACTTGATACTCGACTCGATACGCGATCGAACGGAAAGCAAGGTGATTCTATAAAGAACCCATTTTGTGGTACGTAGCCCCAACATGCTCAATGGTTTACACAGTAATTAAAAAAAAACCAACTGCATAAAAGTTTACTGAAAATAATTTTTTTATAACCTATTTCACTTCCACAACTATGACGAATTGAACGACACGTCACATGTTAAAGTCCATCAAGCTGTTAAGGCTACAGAAGTCTCCAAAGAAATAGACATACATAATATACACTCAAAAAATATTACGCTAATTCTGGGTCAGCAGGGTAAAAAGAAATAAGTAAGTAATTCAAAACTTGCCTTGTAGCAGGTATACGTGCCAAAGTTTCTGGGTTGGATATTGACTATGGAAATAGTGGGCCCAAAGAGTTTTGTGTTGGAGTACTGTAGCATGGCCTTCCTTTCAGCAGACCAAGTGTATTGGTCGAAATTGGACAGATTCGAATATGAATAAAGAGGAAAACCCGACGCATTGCATTGAATTGTCGTTGAATCGCCACGTATTACGAAAATTTCATCCTGAAACAAGAATTAAATATTACCCCTCAGAAATGAGAGAACGCCTGTGCTCTGAAGTGAAACAAATTTAAGGCTGTAACTGTACTTTACAATTAAATAAAACAATATTTAAAAGCTGAAGATTTGCTTTAAGACGTCAAACACTCCAGTCTTATCCATGATCATGGGCGTTGTAAAGCGCCCGAAACATCGGGAAGTAAAACAGTTAAAATAAAATTAAACACGATAAATCCTTAAAATTAGATATATTCGTTATTCGCGTAAATATAAAACACCATTAATCATTATAACAATTACAATTTAGGAAGAAACTTGGAATGGAAAATACAAACTTGTTTTGGAGATGTCAGAGACGGGCATAGTCTTTAATATTTTTTGTAGGTAAAAGGTTACCCCGCACTAGGGTTTTTCCTTTATTGTGGAAGCAGTTTACAAGCACATACTGCACAAGGATAAACATCCAGACCTGGAACAATTATTTGTAAGCCATACAAATACTAATTCCGTGTGGGATTCGAACCCGTGGCGCAGCAACTCATTGCTAAGCCACTGCGCCACGGAACCGTCATTCTACGCATATATAAGCATATTGTATACTTTGTGAAACTTTGTAAAATTGTATATGAGGATCCCATTTTTCACACACAAGCTATTTAACGACTGCTAACTTGAATGGGTCTTTCAATCGAGAATTATCATGCTCGCAGTAAATATCAGCGTAAAATAACAGCATAACGATAGTGTTTCGTATGGTGAGTGTAGATAACCGAAGAACTTACTTACTAGTAACGAGACATTCCATCTTATTGTTGAACTACGTGTAAGCCTCAGCATCCACTTAACATCGAAGGAATTTTTTTGCTTGTAACCTTTAGTTGTACAAACAAAAAAATCGAGGCCCACATCGTTTGAAGCAATTACTGTTAATGTTCACATTTTCCGAATGTGGTACAATATTATACTCACAATTAATGGTCGCAAAGGAGGCAAATTCCTCAAGCCGTTGACTACATCAGTCATGTCTACAGCTCCCCTCTTTTTCCTTTCATTTTCTCTCCTTCGATATACGCCATCGCCATCCAAATACAATTTATCATAGTCTTCTTTTTCATCCCTTAAGGCATACTGTAGGTTTCCTTTCAAATTTTCAACCTCGAAACCTTTACTTTCATCATCGAAATCATCAAAATAATCATTGCCAAAATCTTTTGCGTTTATAAAATCACCATAAGCATCACTATTTGGTTGCGAAGACCTTTTATCACGTATCCAATTCCAATTCAATATTTTTTTAGTTAGGTTCGTGTGTACGTGGCCAGTTTTGGAATGGAATTTAGATCTTTTCTTGCTCTGCATTGACGTAGCTTTGATGTAAAAGGCTGAAGGTGCCTTTTTGTATTTAAAACAGCTGATGTTTTTTACGTATTTGCCGAAATCATTTTTGGACAGTTTTTGAAACATTTCTTGTATATGGGCAACGGTTGAATCGATGTCGCATATGTACTTGGTGGGTTGGGCGTTTGGCTCATAGACCTCTTGAGAAAAGGGTTAGTATTAGTTATGATATTTATAAATACTAAATAATTACAATAATAATAATAATATTCTTAAAATCGCGCAATAAAAATCTATTGTCAGTACACTTGGAAAAACGTATATCTAGTGTTAGTAAAGTATTCTGTTCATTTTATTATCAGCGATAGGCCCCAGCTTTGCACAGGTGATTTCAGGACCTCACCAATAGCGCCACCTGCCGAGTCCAATTGTGAATCTAAACCATCCAGGGACACACTTAAATACACACAAAAAATTTCATCTAAATCAGTCGAGCCATTTTCGAGCACTTTGTCACTTTGCACTGAGACAGCAATTGATTTTTTTTATATAGGATAGGTTGACAAACAGGCACACAGTCCACCTGATGGTAAGCGGTTGCTGTGGCCTATAGACATCTACATCTATCCTCAGTAACGAATCAAAATGCAGATGCGTTGTCACCTGTGAGGACTAAGATGGAATGCCTTTTTTCCAGTAAAAAGGGTCTCCAGTACTCTACACTCAATTTTTATATATAGATAGCATATTATACAGGATTATTTTGCAATAACCGGCCAAATTTACAAAAAAAGTTTCAGAATAAATAATATAAACAAATGGTTATAAAAAATTTATTAAAAAAATATCAAACATTCTTTCCTTTTTCTACCGACTTCAAAAAAGAGCAGATACTCAATTCGGCTGTATGTTTTTTTTATATGTGTTACCTCATAAATTTTTTCTGAGTGAATCGATTTTGATGCCGAAGATGAAAGCTGGTGCTTCTCATGTGGTCCCATATAAATTTGATCAAGGTCTGACCAATAGCTTTTGAGTTATTCTTAATAATTTATATGACTGCCTCGTTGGTCTAGTGGTTGTAGTAGTGCGACTGCTGATCATGAGGTCCCGGGTTCGAATCCCAAGTCGGGCCAGTAAAAATCAGTTATTGACTTTTCCCATCAAGAAATTCTCAGTAGCTGCCCGGAGTCAGGAAGTTGGCGGTGTCCTACCCCCGTGCCTCGAAAAGCACGTAAAGTCGTTGGGCCTGCGCCTGACCTCTTTCCGGTCGTGTCGATTTACCGTCCCATCGGATTATGAGAGTGAGGGAAAAGATAGTGCAGGTGCAGGTGCTTGCGCATACACTTGTACACTATAATCCTGTCCTGCGTCGATGGCTAGTCTCCGTTGAGACTGGCCTCCGTGACCAAAATTCGGTCTGGAGGACATTATTATTAATTTATATTGAATTCAGGTATACAAAATTTTTAATTTTAAATTATATCATTTAAATTCAAAATGCGTGGTAATGCATTATTTTATCTGATTTTACTGCGCACGTACACATTCGTAAGGGTCGATCGGTAGGCAAAAATGTTGTTGCTCATAAATCACATTCAATTGGGGATAATTTCAAATAAAAGTAGAAGCCTTATTTACTCGTATTTTCAAAAACTGCAATAACGGTATATCATTATTTATATATTTGAACTTAAGTTTAACATTGGGCTACTCTTTGAAAAATAACCCTGTATATAGAGGCTTATCAAGTAAGAAGGCTTAGTTGATCTACCTCCACATAATAGAGGAGGTACTCTCCACCATCGGTTTAAGGATGCTACTGTCACTAATTCGTAACTCATTAAGGACGCGTTTTTTTGGATTAGTAAAATCATCCGTTAGACTTCTTGGTACGGCACTATAGTAACGGGGTAGTCCCAGCAATATTCTGAATATAAAAATTACATGTCCCCCTGTGAGGGGGATCATTTGTTGTAGTATATTTCCTTGTCCCACAGACCTCTTGCCTCTTGGCACAGCACCCTTATTCTTAATAAGCGTGCTGTGCCAAAAAGTGGGTCTTTATTTTTTTTAATGTTCAAAAATTTGCATAGCAGAGGTAGCATAAGTAATATATATTCATACCTTCATTATCAGAATTTTCATTAGTTGTACCTATGTTTTCCTTCGAATGATCTGGCTGGAACGAAATGAAAAATCTTAATGAATTGTAATTTTGTTAAAACATATGTTGTGTGTGTCTAAATAGAATAATTTGATAGAGTCCGTAACGAAGATATATCAGCCTTAGAACGAAAGTAGCAATCACTTACCAGTAAGTGGACTTTATGATAGGCCCCACTAGATAAGAGGTAAGACAACCTTGTTCCGCAGTGGACTTGTAAAGGGCTCGGATGTTGATTTCGGAATTACATTGCTTATTGCGAATCTGCGTTGCTTATTCTTTATTAATTATGATAATATTTTATATCCTAAACTAAGATATTTAATGAAAAAATCTGTACCCTCAAATAATACACAATACTTTATAATTATTAACCCATATATGCCCCGTGATTCGAAAACGAAACAAGATTTTGTACTTTCGTAAATCCATTGGAAATCCTTTGCTAGCGCAGTAAAATGCAAAAAATTGCCATCTAGTGCAAGGCTACGGAACTACCTTTTGTTTGCAACGAAGCGTTTTGAGTAGCGTTGACACTTGATTTAAATAGTCAGTAGTGCAAGTTGTGTCCTGTTTTACGTCGCGCAAAAATCATGTCGTCTCCCAAAAAGAAGTAAGTACTTGTTCAATTGAGTGAAACTTTGTACTTTTCAAAATTTTGTAGTCATTTTAGGTAAATAATGATCTTATTCGTATTTTTAAAATAAGTAAATACTATTTAATAAATACCTATAACGTCTTTATAACTTTCGTGTTTCGAAAACGATACGTTGGGCAAATATACAGGTGAGACTTTAAATCTGTTTTTATGTTTTAGGTGGAATACGTGGTTAACTACAAATGAAATCGTTGATATTATCAATGATTTAGCTTCGGATGATGAAGCAACAGCAGCTGACATTTATATCGACCCTCCGGGTGATGGACTTGTGTCAGATTCGGACTCGGGGGACGAAAGAAACGTAAGTTTTGAAAATTTATCACGTGGTCAACTTTTGGCACCTGCTGAACTGACACTACATGGAAAAAACGTCAGTGACGGCAGCGAGTCTGAAGAAGAAGCTTTAGGCCCAATTACGTCACGTACTGTGACTGACTCACAGTCTTTATCAAACCGTAGGCGGAGCCGGTCATTGATAGATAATCCTCCTTTTCCACCTCCACCGCCACCTCGATCGCCTAAGGTAGTCCGAAAATGGGTAAAACGAGACTTATCCCAACTTCATGATGAGTGGATTGCACCATTACCTAGATCAGTAATTACCTTATCCGAAGCTTCAGAACCAGTTGATTTCTTTGAATTGTTTTTTAGTCACGAAGTTATCATGCACATTGTTCGTCACTCTGTTATTTATGCAGTTCAAAAAGGAAACCCAGGGTTTACCCTTTCTGATAATGACATTTATTGTTTCATCGGCATTTTGATATTGACCGGATATTCTCCACTGCCGCGACGTCGGATGTATTGGGAAAGTAACGAAGACACACACAATATCTTAGTGGCGAAATCCATGCGAAGAAACCGATTCGAAGAAATTCTTCGGCATTTCCATGTGGTCGATAATATCAACCTTTGCCCTAATGACAAAATGGCTAAAGTCCGCCCACTTTTTGATTTACTCAATAAAAAGTTTCTGCAATATGCCGTAATCGAAAAGAACATCAGCATAGACGAGTCTATGATACCTTACTATGGTAGACACGGATGTAAGCAGCATATCAGAGGTAAGCCTATTAGATTTGGCTTCAAAACATGGATTGCAGCCTTGCCCTTAGGATATTGCTTATACGCCGACCCATATCAAGGCCGCTATGAAACTTTTAGTACCGGGTTAGGACAATATGTTGTGCAAAAATTGATGACCGAGATTCAGAATGTCTACAAAGAAACAAGATTCTCAGTTTTCTGCGACAACTTCTTCACAGGATTACCGTTGATAACAGCAATGAAAGAAAAAAATATTTTAGTGACAGGTACAGTACGTAGTAATCGCACTGACAAGTGTCCTTTGAAAGATGAAAAATTATGTAAGAAGGAACAGCGAGGTTACCATGACAGCCGGCTCGATCTAAACAGCGGCATCTGTGCAGTGCGCTGGAACGATAATAGTGTAGTCACTCTGTTATCCAGTGAATACGGCGTGGAGCCTATACAAACTGCAAGGAGATACTCAGCTGCTCAAAAGCAAAGAGTAAATGTACCACAACCCAACGTTGTGCACCAATACAATCGTTTTATGGGAGGGGTTGATCGGTTAGATGCAAACATTGGTACCTATCGAATAGCAATTAGGGGCAAAATATGGTATATCCCGTTACTTTTCTGGTTGATAGACGTTGCGGTCAACAATGCTACCCTACTAGCTCGTAATTTCTCCAAAGATATAGATACGCTGGAATTTAGACGTAGCATTGCCAGAACCTTACTTCAAAAATATGGCAATGATAAGCAACATCCGGGACCTAGCAAACGGGTATCTACAAATGTACCTACATCAGTACGAAAGCATAACGCTGAGCACATGATCGGCAGGGCACCAAGTAGACTGCGATGTGCCTATTGCAAAAGCCTTACAGTCACTTTTTGTCAAAAATGTAAAGTAAATTTACATTCTAAATGTTTCTCTGTATTTCATTCTTAATTTCATATTGCAATTTAGTTTAAAATAGTAATAAGTAATAAATAATCTCATTATACATCTTTGTTTTAATTACCTATAACGAATGTAGGATATTTGCCCGTCGTTTCGTTTTCGAACACCCCTAAAATACCCACTTACTAAAAATATTTTTTACTAAAATTAGTCAATACTGATATAAGGACTTATCAGCATAAACATATCTTGAAATAATCAAAATCAGAATTCAAAAATAGTTCTGGGCATATATGGGTTAATCTATACTAAATATTGAAACATAAAAAAAGGACATCGGCTTATAATCGATACTGATAGATTTCACATTTTTCATTTACACAATTCTAGAAAAAAAAGGTCAAACGTCAAAACTAAGCTAATTACAAATTTTAGAACCATGCAACTGCAGTTATATTGTGGTTGTAATACGAATAGAACGTGATCGACCAGGGAAGGACGACGTTCTCATAGAGTACCTGCGTGAAATAGCAAATTAAAGCTTATGCATTTTTCGTAAGGCTAATGTTGAGAATCGGCGACCATTTTTACTGGAAATGAGGCATTCCATCTTAGTCCTCAGGAAATTCTGCATTTAAAAAAGTATTCTTAAGCCAGGGTAGATCTAGGGCCATAGCATCCACTGGCTATCAGTTGGGCTGTGTGCTCGTTTTTCATAATAAAAAATATGTTGTCTAAAATATGTATAAAAAAATACGTTGTGTTGATTGTGTTTCATCTATTTTAATGGTCAGAGAGGCTATGTGGCTTAATCTATTGCTACTTGACTACCTCGTACTTGACTAGACGTAGTAGTAGTGGACTTATACGCGAGTGCTGACCACGAGTCCCCGGGTTCGAATCTTGGGTCAACCCAAAATTAGGTAATGGATTTCTCCGCCAAAAAATTCTCAGTAGTAGCCCGGAGTCAGGAAGTTGGTGGTGCTTCGCCTTGGAATGCATGTAAAGCCGTTGGTCTTGCACCTGATTTCTCTCCGGGCGTGTCGTATTTCAGTTCCATAGAGTGCATCTGTGCTTGTGCACATACTCCTGCACTATAATCCTTTACTGCGCAGATGGCTAATCTCCGAACGCGAATTTTTATTTCCAAATCGCATACATAGACCGAAATAAATGAGAAAGTCTCCACTCGACAAGAAACAACAAACGCAATTTCAATATTACAAAACAAAAATATTTTAAAAACAATTTGAATTAGGTGTACCAACCGTAGTCGCGTCGTCGTTTCTAATCTCAGATTCCGTATTTGTTCTAGTGGAAGTTTTAGTTGTCGACGTAGTTGTAGGCGATTTGTTCCTTGTGTCAACTGTCGTTTTTAACTTTGTGGCTTTATTAGTAACCGTAAGAGTGTTTAGGCTTGACATTGGGTGTTCTAAGTCTAGAAACGATGAACATTTTAAGTTTAGATTCATTGACCTTGACACCGATATTTATAGAATCTAATAATATAAATAAATCTGAAAAAAGATCTAAGCTGCCATGCAAGTGTCTTATTTTCCTTCCACAAGGGGTGGTCCTTAAATGTCGCGAAGCCATTTTCAATTTTGCGTCCTTATTTTCCATATTTTATACATTTATTGCAGACTCGTCAAAATTCCACTTCTGCATTTTTATACAAGACATTCAGAGACAAAGTAATTTTTGTCTCTACGTTGTCCAGAGAATTGTACAAATACGCAAAGGAATGTTGGAGGGAACTAGACCGCCGGCGAAATGTCGTTTTTTTTTATTGTTTAAAAATGATTTCAAGTGGATTTTGTTACGTAAAAGTGATGCGATTTTATATATTAAGTATCTGCGCATGTGAACTATTAGTGTAAAGATGAACCATGGGCTCAGATGATCAGAAGTTTTGAGATACTATTGTCATCAACTGTCCGCGGGGTTAAGCTTTCGTCAAAATCCAATCCCAAGAACTTTGCAATGTGATGCATCAGCATTTTGTTACTTTTTAAAAGAAAATATTAAAAAGGATATTTTTTTTATTAATACAATGGCTATGAAAGATCTCGGAGTTTTTCTAGTAGATAAAATGCGTAATGAAGAAATCCGCCGGAGAACCAAGATTACATAATGACATATCCTTCCGCGTTTGTAAACTGAAGTGGCAATGAACTGGTCATGTCGATCGCAGAAGTGACAACCGGTAGAGTAGACGTATTTTAGAGTGGAGACCGCATCTAGGCAAAGGTAGTGGAGGAAGCCCCCTGACTGGATGAAGCTACGATTTGCGCAAAGTGGCTGGTAGAAGCCGGATGCGTAAATCAAGACCGGGCTTAGTGGCGCACCTTGGGAGGGGTCTATGTCCAACA